GAGGTGCTGGAGCGTGTCCAGAGAAGGGCAATGAAGTTGGTGAAGGGTCTAGGGCACAACTCTTATGAGCTGAGGGAGCTGGGGTTGTTCAGCCTGGAGAAAAGGAGGCTGAGGGGAGACCTCATCGCTCTCTCCAACTACCTGAAAGGAGGCTGTAGCGAGGTGGGGGTCGGTCTCTTCTCCCTAGTAACAGGTGATAGGATGAGAGGAAATGGCCTCAAGCTGCGCCAGGGGAGGTTTAGGTTGGATATTAGGAAAAACTTCTTCACCGAAAGGGTGGTCAAGGATTGGAACAGGCTGCCCAAGGAAGTGGTTGAGTCTCCATCCCTGGAGGTATTTAAAGGACGGATAGACGTGGTGCTTGAGGACATGGTTTAGTGGTGGACTTGGCAGTGATAAGTTAACGGTTGGCCTCGATGATCTTAAGGGTCTTTTCCAACCTTAACGATTCTATGATTCTAAGGTGCTGTTTGTGTTATTGAATGAGTTTTTAAGTCTTACTGCAAACTAATGCTCCGATGTAAGTCCTTTGCAGGACAAGCTCTTGGACTTCTTTGGTCATCTTCTATATGAGCCTGATGAATTTGCTATTTGTTTCTATGACTTCTCCAGATGAATTCAGATTTCTAGGTTGTTAGAGAAGACTCCTATAGTCAGTGTCAGTAACAAAATCTAATTACACTCTTCACTTGGGAAAGCAAGAGTAATAACGACTTAATTTTTTTCCCTTGTAATTAACTTTGAAAATGTTTAGCTAAGACTGTTTTCCATTGGTAATTTCTGTAATGAACTTCAGAAAAATATTCTACATGTTAAAAAGCTGTTGGGTTGATATTAGCCACATTCTCCTATCATTTCTGTCTTTGTTTCATTTGTTTCAAACAGATATAGATGGGTTTTTTTGTCTTGATCTGTAGGCTAACCTGTGTTAATTGCACTAGTATAATTAAAGCAGTCTAGCTCCCTTGTAAGGATGTACTAATTCCCACACAGTCAAGTCCAGCAGTGTAATTCATTTCCGTATGGGAAATGAACTGAACCAGTTCAATGTAGTACTGTTCGTACTGCCGCTCCATCCATGCAAAACATGACGTACGAGTATGTCTTGATTCAGACATCGGGTATTTCCCACCCACCCCCTCTTTTTTAGTCCCCCCTCTTCACCAATAATGTCACAGGTAACATGCTTTTAAAGGTAGTCTTCCACATCACTAATGTTGTCTGACTTGTTTGTCTTCTGGCTGGTGTTTCAGATGGTCTGCGAGCGGTCTGAAGTCTTTGCTTCTGCTTGTGCATTGGCCAGAGCTTTCCCGTTGTTCACACATCGGTCCAGTGCATCAAGACGCACAGAGAAGAAAACCGTAACAGTAGAGTTTTTCCTGGTTGGACAAAACAATGGACCAATAGAAGTGGCAACACTTAAAGTAAGATTTTGAGGTTTTTCATCATCATTTTTTTCCATTATTCCCTGAATTTTTTTTCTTCAATTTCGTGCATGCACAAATACATCTGTCTCAGGCTACACACGGAATAGGTGGTGTATCTAAAGTAATAAATTGTCCTAGGTCAAAGTTCCTTGAAATTGATCAGTTCACAGCACCTGTGAGTAGAAATATCGAGCATATTACTGCAGCTAAGGCTGAAGATGTTATTCATAATTTAGATTTCAGGGGTGGAAAACACCAGACAAGTAGCACAAAGAAAAGTTCTCTTTTCTCATGTTTATCATAGATGCAAATAGTGCGCTTTTTAGCCTTTAATGTTACATTGCCTTTGGTGTGTAGGCTTCTCATTTTCTTTTACCCCAGCAAAATCTGTATGTGGCTGTGCAGGTGAATATTACAGTGAAGTCACTAAAAGTTGCTTATTCTGGGATCACATACGGCCTCTGATATTTCTGTCTGATGTACCTCTTTGGCTGAGTTTTTCTAGCAGAATGTAGCCAGAAACAAGACCCTAAGAAATGATACAGCTTGGGGATGAGCTATACGTAACAGTTAAGTATGACTAAGTCATCTTTCAATAACGGATAATCAAAGACTGTTTCCCTTGCACATGACTATTACAGAGAGGAAACTCCACATCAAGAAACTTTTAGTATGCTACGTCATTCCTTTTCAAGATCCTAACTTAAAAGCTATTCCAAGGTTTGCACTTGAGGTGTTAGGCAACTTCCCGTTCAGTTCTCCAGGTTCTGTGCTTCAGTACAGATGGACACTGACTTAGCTGATCAGTCAGTGAGGTTACACAAATCCCTTAAAAATTTTGGCAATGGATTTGACAAAGGATATGGTATTGCTGCATCTGAAATTCACAGAATTGCAGCTTTAGGGTATTTTTTTTTTTTCTTTCAGTATCTTTTCCTCCGTACTTTGTCCTTACTCTATGAACTGATTTGGCCACAGCAAATGATGCCAGACCAGTTTTCAGGAAAGCGACAGACATGCTTTGAGTACAACTGTTGATCACTCAATTTTTCCATGCCCCAAATCAGAAAAAAAAAAAATAGTTCCTTCAGATAGGTAGATTCCAAACTGCTTGGGTTATTTATAACTAAAAAACAAAGTCAAAATTATTTCTACCTCCTGTTCTTGCCCTTGATGTCAATGCCAAAAACATTGCTGGCTTCCTCCAAGCTAAGTTTTCACCACTTAAATTCAACCAGCACCAGACAGCTAATGTAGAGCACGGAAGAGGCATGTGGTAGGATTTTTTTAGCTAAGCCTCTCCTTTGGAATGTTGCTGTATTTTGCACCTATTGCATTGTCCAGGATATTTTATGGTGAGAACTAGCAGGGATTGTCATAGTTTTACAAGGCACATATTAAAGGCTGCCATTATCCAGGTTCTCTAGAGTACCCTGGAAGCCAAACCCAGGCACAGCTTATTTCTGTAAGTCATATCGTTTCCCTCGGACTTGGCCTTTGCATTAGAGCACCTCCATTTACATGCATGGCCCTAATGGTGAATCACGCCAAACCTAGCTTGGCTCCTGAGGAGGTCCTTATCCCTTTAGGGGAAGTAAAGCAATCAAAAGTAATTGTAGGGAATTGGGCAGCATTCCAAAGCAAGCCAAGGTTTATGAGTGTGCTGGGCTACAGAAGGTATAGAGTCCTTAGGCCAGTCTGGCCAAGCCAAACTTCAGATACCTCAGCATGGATGACTATCCAACACTTCAGATTCCTTTGAAACCCATCTTGACTCACCCGTCTGCTGTGTGTGGTCTTCAGTGTAGTGTGGCTACTGGAAAGCTTGAACAAAGTTTCCTTCCACCTAGTCTTTTAGTTTCAAGTTGTTGATTGACAGGAGTTAAAAGTTGAAGCTTAGTGTCTGGTGCCCTTGTTGTCCTTTTTGCCAGGAGGGTCCTTCTTCAAGGAAGCAGCCTTGGCATGCTCACTGGCGACCATTTTGATTCTGTCCAGTCTTGCTTAGATAAGTTTTTACTCAGTCCAGCTGAGGGTCAGTCCGTTTTGCCACAGGAACGAGGAAACAGATGCGTGCATGTTTTACACAAATATGAAATATTCCACATTCCCCATGGGCCTGCCATATGTCTTATGGTAGTAATCCTTATTGCACTCAGCCACTCTGCCTGCCATATATAAACTTTCCAGTTTGCCATGTTGTAGGTGATGTAATCTCTGCGGGTTTCCAGTCCGAGCGGCCTACAAGCTCATTGTGACTTCCTGAATGGGCTTCCTCTTACCTTTCTTTCCTCCACCTCGCATTGCCTTCTTGGTCTCACTTTGATAGTGGAGAAGGCTACTAAATTTGCAATATCAATTCACTGTGGGAAGGAATACAGTTGCTTAGAAATTAGAGCACAGGGAAAAATAACTTAAGCTTAACACATAGAAAAAAATAATGGTTAGCTTGTTTGACATTCTTTAATGCTGTACAACTGCCTGTGGTGGGTTGCAGTTAAGCATTACTGTGCTCCAGAGGAATCACACATCTGGTGTAGGCTGCATAGGACTAAATGCAAAGCTATGCAGAAAACCAGCCAAACCAAGGCCAGTTCTCAAGTGTGCTCACGTCTTCTCATAGTGTCTGGCAAGTGCTACAGAAGGAGTCAGACTGGCTGCTCGAATTGTGGACACCCCATGCAATGAGATGAACACGGATAACTTCCTGGAGGTAGGTAATACACCTGCTGAGTAAGAGTTACTAATTGTAAGTGTAGACTACAGTAATCAAGAACTAGTGTTGCTATCTCTTAACAAAACCTGTATGTCAGCTAGTGGGAAGCACATCAAAGAACCTGTCCAAGGATGCTGAGGGTATTCCTTTGGCCTTTAATATTTCATAGAACTTTGATAAGTTGGAAGGAGGCAGAGTGTACAGCTTGGGGTAAGGCACTGGGAGTCAGAAGACATGAGTTTTTGATTTGGTCGTGACGCTGGCTTCTTTGCCAGTGCTAATGTTGTCTTAAGCCTGATGGTGATAAGTGTTTCTGAAATTATGGGATGGAAGTTGACATGTTTCCAAATAAGTTTTATCATAAAGATCTGGAAGGCTGCTGAGAATGAAAGTATTCCTGTCCTATTGCATCATGATCCACTAGAGTGAACAGCTGGCCTTTACCTCTGAAGATTTCTTTTATTGGTGGAGCTTAAAAGTCAAGTTTGTATTTCATGCCATAGTAAGTCAAGGATGTCTCGGTGAAATTAGGCCATTGGAAAACCAGCACCACTCCCAAAATTGTGAATGTTTGTATGTCTATGCGTGCAAAAATCACACAGAACCCTTGGGTGCCCATGTGTGCAGTGCCCATATGTGTGGAAAGACACAAATGTGTCCTTCTGATGACTGACTGACAATGTCCTTTTTCTTTTAATGATTAAGGAAATCAAAAAAGTTGGCAAGGATCTTGGGATTACTCCTACCATTATTCGAGATGAGGAGCTGAAAGAGAAAGGCTTTGGAGGTATATGTCATTGAAAATTCAGCTTTTATCCCTCGAAGTTAATTGGAATGTTTTGCCATCTCCATTGTAATGTTTTATTTGCACATTTTTGAAGCGGTTTTATTGCCCATAGTATTCCAAGATGTTTTATAGAAAGTAGCCACAGATTGCTCCCTACAGGCTTTCTTCCCCACAAGTGGTTTAATTCTCTGTTTTCCAGGTATCTATGGAGTTGGTAAGGCAGCTCTGCATCCTCCAGCGCTAGCAGTTCTCAGTCACACTCCAGATGGTGCTACACAGACCATTGCATGGGTGGGCAAAGGTATTGTGTATGACACTGGAGGACTCAGCATTAAGGGAAAGGTACATAAACACTTGTTCTGCTGCTGCCTTTGCTTACAATGTTGTTTTCTGATGGAAATAATTCAGTTAATGTCTGTAGGAACAGGAAGTATATTTATTTGAGTAAACACTTGGTCTACTGTCATCCATATGGACACAAACTACCAGGGGAGAAGACCAAATAGGATTCAAGGAACACTTTACAGAGCAGTTAAGTAGCTACCTGATGTTTTACCCTCTAAGTGTTGCCCACTGCTAGGAGAAAGCTAGAAACAACGATGTTTAATTTCTGATTTTGGAGACAGATCTGAATAGGTTCATTTGAGTTGGCCTCAGCATGAATCTTGTAAACAACCTTTTTCTTTTTTCTAACAAATTAGCAGCAGAGTTTAGTATATTCAAGTTCTAAGGCAAGATCCACCAATAAGCAGATGCACGTGTTCTGTGTTTCTGTTACAGTTGAGTTACTGTCAAGACCAGAGTTACAGAAGCATCAGAAATACTAGTTTTAGCAAGCAATACTGTGAAATTTTCTTTTAAAGAAAAAAAAAAAATCTGTGGTTCTGTTTAAACAGACTACTATGCCTGGAATGAAACGAGACTGTGGTGGAGCAGCTGCTATTTTGGGTGCCTTCAAAGCCACTGTAAAGCAAGTAAGTAAAATGTGTTAATTGATATCATGTAGCCCAGTATTGCCAAGGAGCAGTCTGCCTTTTGGATACATTCCCAGATATGGGGACCAGTCTGATCCTGAAGTTTGACCTGCCACTGCTATTCGTGATCTTGAGGCACTCTGCTCTTTCTGCTATTTCAGGAAAATATTTCAAATCTTTACCGGGATCTTGAGAATTCTGAGAAATTCCTTGAGTGCTAGTTTTTTTTTAAGAGTCTTTCTTGAATTTCAGGGTTTGTTCTGCGGACTGAGTGGTTTCTGGTTCCTTGAATCAGATTTATACTTGAGTTATCCAGTGCTGATTTTGTTTAAGCTGTGGGATTTGGGGCAGCTGTCGTCCCCTTAGCAAAGAAGGGGATGAGTGACTCTGGGATATGAAGTCTGTCCATATTGCAAATCCTGTGCCAGTTCTAATATTAACTTACTGGGGAAGTGGCAGCTCTAGTCTCATCAGGAGCTGCTTGTTGGTTTGCTCCTGTGGTCAGAAAATAGTAGGGGAGCTGAGAGGAAGCCAGGTATTGAAATATGAAGAATTAAAAAAATGCATATTGTGCTTTAACAATCTGAACTGTGGAAAAGGAGTGGCCGCTGCCAATAAAACTCTGCCCTCTCCGCAAATCCAGTCACTGAGTCTTGCTGACAGAGCAGCTATTGCCTCCAAGGAGTATCCAAAGTTCAAAGAACATTTACTGCTGCAGATTAATGCATAGATCTGAGGGAAGCTTTGTCCAGGGGACAATCAGTGCCAAATTCCCATTTCTCAATAGTTTAGCTCTGTGCCTTGGCCCTAGCAGCATGTTTGATGTGGAAAGATTGTAAACTTCACAGTTATCTGCAGAGACTTAAAATTGAAAACAGATTTGTGAGCTGCATCTTAGGCAAAACAGCTACCTTTCCGTAACTAAGTCCTTCAGAAAGTTAGATCACGCGTTTGCAAAGGACAAGAGCTAGAACTTAATGCTTTGGGAGAGTCTGGGACAGCCATGGATATTGGTACCTTCTTTTGGTGATTCAGTCCTTGTTTCCACAGTAGTTTTGTGTGTAATTATCTGCACTGAGAGAAGTTGCATTCACAATCACAGTAGGTGTGAACATAAGTGATCTCTCGTTTCATACGCAGTTATTGTAACAATGAATAAACTGGTAGTAATATGTTTGGACAATCTGAGCCTGAAGAAGCTGTCATACCTCACAAGAAATCTGTTAAAAACAAAAGAATGATCTCACTGCCTAATTTTACAACCTCATGTAAGAAGACCTGTTCATGAAATCCCTACAGAAAGTGTATTCAGATAGGCAGTGGAAAGAATTTGTCGTTACTGTTTCAAGATGGGTTTTTTTTAAATGCTTTTAAGAATAATACAAAGCTAGAAGGGGTTTAAATTAGCTATGCTTTGTCACAGAGACTGAAGTTGGAAACGTGTGTTGGATAGAAAGTTCCGTGGGAAGAGGGGCAGAGGTTATTATTCATCTTCAGAAAATATCTGCCTACATGCTGTTCAACAGTTTTACAATATGATTTAAAAAGGCTTTGGATAGCAAAATTAAGCAAGTGATTTTTCCTAGAAAGATGCGTTTCATCCGTTGTGAGCTTTCCAGCACAAGGGAGAAGAGAAAAACATTCACTTAAATTGTTGAAATCCTTCTTGATCCTGCATGTTAACATAGTGAATCCTGCTTTTAAAGAGCTACAGGCAGAATGGGATTCAGGAAAAGGCAACTGATACTGGAAGAGGGTTTTCCCTTTTTGAAAATAGATTAACCACATCTCCCCCTTGGAGGAGGAAAATTTGGTACAGTCCAGTGAGAGACTGTGAACAGAGTCAGGTTTTTGCTGCACAGACGGCTTTGGAAGAGCAAAGGGTCAGAGATGGAAGGTTATCTCGTCAATGATGCTGTTTGCCCGCTGGCTGGACTGGGAACCGCAAGTTACTTTATGGCTTCTAGTTGCTGCCCATTATTTTGAAAGGTTTTGATTGATGCATTTGCTCTTTAGACTTCAGAACATGAGCTGATTCAGCAAGTCCAGATTTCTTCAGCTACGGACTTTTATCAAGAGATAAACAGTAAAACTGACCCTGGTTTCCCTAGGAATTTGATTTTTTTAAGGCTGGCCGTCCCAGTTGAGGAGGAACTATATTTTTATTTGTTAAATGCTGCTGTCTCCCTTTCTGTTCCTAGGATACCTCCACACAATATAGCCATTGTATAAATAACAAAATCATCATACATTTTAAAATATCATCCATAACCATATAAGCGCTTGATTTTACATGAATGTAAAGCAGAATGGGATATGCCAGAAGAGAGGAGGCTAAGGGGAAAAAAAAAAGTTTGGAAATGCTGTGTGCCTCCCAGCAGCTGATATAGGAATGATACATGAAAAAAAAAAAACACCAAACACCCACACTGCACCCCCCCAGAAAAAAATAAAAACCAACCCAAATTCATCTTAGCTATGGATATTTTTGTTTTACATGGAAAGAGAGAGGATAGATCCTGGTGGTGTGTAGCTGACCTGTGGTGCAGATTAGATGCTGAAGGGCAGCGAGCTGTGTTGTTGGCAGCTGGGTGATCCACTGAGACATGGAGTACCACCACGTTCCAGGATTGCCACAATCAAAGTTACTTTCCAACAAAATTCTCAGAGATGGAATCTGTTCACCTGGGGTTGGTTTTTTAGGGAAAGTATACAGTTCACAAATGGCTGCGTATTAGCATTTATTATTTCCATAATTTTCCACTGTTACTGTAGACTCTTCCCCAGTGTGGCAGATATGATGGGAAGGAGCTCAGGTTTCTCAAATGGCCCCACTTGTATCTTTGTTGTTGTTGGAAACTAAATAAAATCAGTGGAAAATACAGGGTTTGGAGAAAAATCCTAAGCATCCTGACTGGCTGTGTAATGTCTTCTCGCAAGCGTTTGTAATTGTCATGTTGAACACATCCGTTACTTGGATCTTTCCTTTGTGGCTACAAAAGGTGAAGGAGTTAAACAGTCTGGACATGTTGTTTGTGATCTCTGGTGTGAGTCTATGTTACAGTTGTATTAAAATTAGATGAGTGAAGCGTTGCATCTTCGGAGACGTATTCTACTGATTTTCGTACAGAGGTACTGTAGTTTAGTGACTTAGGGTTTGGTTTTGGTGAGCCTGGCAGTTTTCGGGTGAGCTCAGTGGGCTTTGGAATTGTGCTTGTGAAGATCTTACTGGAGCTGGCTGTAAAGAGCTGAATGTGTTCTTCCCAGGGAATCAGGTTTGACTAAACATAACCCCCTCCAGTCACATCTGCACAGTGCGTACAAAAGATGTTTTAATTCGGATACCTCGCCACTGAGAGAAGATTGTAGTGATCACTGCTTAATTGACACGGGCTTTCTAGATCCCTTCCCCATTTGTCTGTCACATGCATATGGGCTTTTATGCACTCTCAGTGAGAATTCTAAAATCAGTATTAGATGTTACCTCCTCGCCTGCTTTCTATAGCTGTCGGCCTCAGCTTCAAGATATAAGACATTCCTCACAGATTTCCCATATAATTAGTGGCATTGCTGTCAAGAAGGCATAATCCCTCATTGATTTCAGTCCCAATAAATTAGCTTGATGTGAATCAAAAGCCATTTCTCTCCTGTTGTTGTTACAGGGTTTTAAAGACAATCTTCACGCTGTTTTTTGTTTGGCTGAGAATGCAGTTGGACCACGTGCAACAAGACCTGATGACATTCATGTTCTTTACTCTGGAAAGTAAGATTGTACCTACCCTTTTCATAGAAACATTCAGAGGAAACATCAGCTTTGGTTCTATTTATCCGAGTACCATGCAGACTGTGAACCTTTCTCACATCAGCTTCCCTAAATATTGATAATAGTATTTCAGACAGCCACAGTAGTGAGTTTTAAGTGTGCTTAGAGTTTCCTGTTGGGTATGTAAATACACATCAAAATACTTATCATATATCATGAGCTCAAGTTTCCTTAAAGCCCTCAGGTTTAGGCGTTTTTCCAGTACAACCAGTTTTCTGTGTCCATTTGTAGTCTATGTTGTCTCACTCGCAGAGGCAGGCTACCACTGTATAAGAATCTCTTCTTGTTTTAAGCAGAGTATGATACCTCTTTGTACGGCAGTAATTTGTAAAATCCCAGCTCAACCTGCTAGGCATTATGCAGGCCCAACAAGTAGACCGAACCATGAGGGCAGTACTGTTATCGCCCTTTTCCACGTGTGCTCTGCCTGGGTGCTTGCAGCTGGGGAATAAGCAGCCGTACAGACTTGCAGAGTCAAATAAGGAAGTACATTAAGTTTGAGTCTGCTTTCTCATCCAGTATTCTAGTCCAGACAGATGAGTCTTAACTTCCAGCCTGAAGCACCGTTGTATTAAATGCCCTCTCTTCTTCCTAGAACTGTGGAAATCAATAACACTGATGCAGAAGGTAGACTGATACTGGCTGATGGAGTAGCTTACGCATGCAAAGATCTTGGAGCTGATATCATTCTTGATATGGCCACTCTTACTGGAGCTCAGGTACCAATACAGAACTGCTAGCAGACAGGGGCTGCATCCTTTTACTGTCTGCACATCGTACGCTTCTGTGCCTCTGTCCTGCTAGCCTTTGGTGGAAGGCAGATACTGTGAACTGCTGTGACTGATGGTGGCTTCCAAAACTTGTGCAAGAGAAAGTTGCCAACAGCAACCCCAGTAAACTGTAATCCTCTGTGCACATGACGTGCTGTGAATGTGTTACATTTATAACTGCATTACTCAAGCAGGGTTTTTTTGGTCTTTATGCAACTTTTATGCTTTTGCATACTTAAAGAAAAAATGGAACTCTTCTGATGACAGTAGCAGCTGATGTAAGCGATCCAGTATTCAATGTTTGCAGTTCAGTAGCTTTATAATTAGCAAAACTGATTTGATGATAGTGATAAGAAATTTTCTTGTCCGTAAAATGGCTTACATCATAAGTCACACACAGAATGACACAAGGGTACAAATTTAATGCTACTGTTTTTTGAAATCTATTCCTGTTTTATAGAAGGTTATATTGACAACCAGTGATTCTTGTGGTTTAATTTTCTAGAAAATGAATTGGTCTTCATATCAGGAGAAGAAATGGTGGCAAATTTTAAAAGCATGAATGTTGCATATGTTGGTGTAAACATCAATCCTTTGAAAGTGTCCCATCATTGTCCTACTGGAAAACTGATGTGATGGTGGCTTCTGGGTTTTGTATATTTGGAAGGAAGCAACCTCTCCAATGAATGAGGATGTTATGTTCATACTGCGTGATTGACCCACATTATTGGGGTATCCTCTGTGTGTGTGTGTTAGATATTTTATTTATAATTCATTGTTGATTTATTTTTATTTCTAAGGATAAATAATTGTAAAGTGATATAGTTTGCTTGCTCAGTAACTATAAAGAAACATTTTTGTGGGACAGTGGTTTGAATAGGCCAGACAAATGCAGACTATTTCACTGCAGAATGGATTTTCAGAAATTTTAAAAGATTCAACGGTAGCTACAATGTCTCTGTGTTTGTAACACTATCTTGTGGAGTAGTTTTGAGACATGTTTTTTCTTGGTGGTTTTGTTAGATGGAAAGCAGCTGTTAATGCTGAGAGAGAGTAGTACAGAATCATCCTACCCAGCACAACTAAGACGACTCCTTCCTGATTTGCCTTCTGTCTCACTAGGGAGTTGCTACAGGAAAGTATCATGCTGCTGTCCTTACCAATAACGAAGAGTGGGAAAAGGCTTGTGTTAAAGCTGGCAGGAACTGTGGAGATTTGGTCCATCCTCTTGTGTATTGCCCTGAGCTCCACTTCAGTGAATTTACCTCTGCTGTAGCTGATATGAAGAACTCTGTGGCAGTAAGATTTTTTTTTTTTCTTTTAGATTTCATTTATTACATAACAACGTGTGTTTTCTAGATAATGTGCTGGCCTCTTGACGGCTGGCTGAAAGCACTTCATGTGGGCTGTAATCTTTTGGAAATGGGCCATATAGTTATGGTCTTCAGGGTCTTTTACCTGGGGATTTTACAGGCTATATGTCACTACACTGATACTTAGCATCAGTTGTAGGCTGCTTGCCTTTTAAGCATGGCCCTGAGATGAATGCTAAATTCCTGGATGGAGATGGTTTAAGAAGTAAAGGCAAGTATTCCTTAGATCATATATAATCAACAGAGACAGTAACTGGGAATGCAGAAACCAGGAAATTGGGGACAGAGGCCTCGGGGATTGCTGCAGCTGCTTTTGCTGTGTGTTTGAGAGTTACAGTGTGCACTGAGTTCCAAAAACACTGCAGAAAGGAGCTTGGGCAGAAGAGGAATTGAGCAGGGCCAGACTGCTACCAGGGATTAAGTCAAAGGATTTACAGCATAGCTGGTTTGCAAGACTGTGTTTTAGGGCCATTCATTAAGCTCTGAACTAGATTTGCACAACTGTCTTTTCTGTAGGCAAGAATAAAACATTGACCTTTTCTTTTCTTGCAAGACCAACTGTATTTTTATTATTTCTACAGGACCGAGACAATACTCCAAGCTCCTGTGCTGGGCTCTTCATTGCTTCTCACATTGGCTTCGACTGGCCTGGAGTCTGGGTCCATATAGACATTGCTGCCCCTGTTCATGCAGTGAGTATGTTCATATGACTTCCAATATTTTCCTGGGTGAGCAAGCTGGGTAAAGAAAACTGCTTGTGCCTGCAGATACTCTGAATTCTGTGCCATCAAATTCAAAGCGAGAGAATTAGGTGGAGAAGAGTTGTTTTGAAAAGTATTGACTCTTCATCTGTGTTGGGAATTTCTTTGTTTTGGTAGCTTCATCTGTTCATATTTTTCATTTTGGTTTTAAAATATTCTAACGGTCACTTTAATCAGCAATATCTTTATCATTGTAAACTTCGACAACTTGTCTGCTTTCTGTTCATGGCAATAATCCTAGCCTTCCATTTTCACCCATATTGTTTTAATATGATTGACCATAGTCGATCATCCTGCCTGCTGACCTGCAGCAGAGAAAACATTTGTTTCCTCTTGGGGGTTTCCCATCCTCCCTTTGGTGGAACTTGCGTATATTCTTTTTTCCTACAAAACAAGACAATTTACTCCCCCGTCTCCTTTTTTTTAAACCCAACTTACTCAGCTCATACTCGAAATCCATGCTCATGCTGGACAGAACATTCCCCGCCCTGAACAATGCTAGTATAAATCCACCCTTGAGTCAGTATCAGCTCTGTCCTCATGTGAATCAACCAATGTGTTGGTTTCATGTAACCGGGACAGATTCCAGTAGCAGTAAGGATACAGAAGCACACGCTGAGCAGGCCTGCCAGGGACCCCGAGTATTCACTGTGCCCATGTGCCATCACTGCTCTTGTTGAGTGAGTAGGTAAATTAAAACTAGATTCAAATTATACAATCTGAAGTGTGAATTGTGTGGGTTGTTTTTTTCCTAGGGTGAACGAGCTACTGGCTATGGCGTGGCTTTGTTGCTGTCCCTGTTTGGAGGGGCATCTGAAGACCCTTTGCTAAACATGGTGTCCCCTCTGGGTTGCAATGGAGACTCTCCCCCCGAAGATATGGAGAGGGATTCCAAAAGGCGGCGCCTGGTTTAATGCGTCCCCAGCCCTAAGTGACGGGGTGCATGGGTTACCTCACTTTGCACTGATTCATTCTCAAGCAATGAAAATGTCACACATCAGAAATTGCCATTTTTTTTACTATCATATAAGATTTATTACTTGTTTCTGATTAAAACAGCCTGATTTCTTGGTTTTTTTAAATTATTGGTGCACACAGTTGCTGAACAATATCAGTGGTGCAGAGTCCAGGCTCAACTAACTGCATCAGGAAGAGGGCACATCCTCCTCTGAGCCCCTTACAAAACCTAACTAAGTGCATTAATGCATGAGAAGCTCTCTCTAGTCTGAAGAAGCAACTGCAGCTATTGCTTACAAAGCCTTCTGAATTACTTATTATATGTGAGGTTTTATCAGACATTTCTGCAGGCCCCACTACATCTCGGAACACAGGACAAGGAAAAAAATCTCTGTAGACTTGGCTTATTCAGTGACAATTTAGCTTAGCAGCAAAGGAGATGTAATGAGAAAAGGCCTATAGTTTTAATACGGTGCTGTTTCCGCATGTTTAATGTTTTTCTGACCAGTAAAATCAGTGAGAGTGGTCCAGAACATATCTCTACATAAATCTTTCACATACACGTTGCAGAATGTATTCATGTTAAATGAGGAAAAAAATAGAGGGACTGTGATTGAGTAAAATCGGTTTACAAAGCAGAGTGGCTTCTTGCCACTTAATAAATTTATTATTATTAAAGCAGCTTATGTATCCCATGTGGCGTTTCATGGTGTCATTTACATTTCTGAGAACACTGAGCGCTCCAAAAGTTTGTGCGCGACATCATTACTCTGTTCCAATTCCTTTTCCCAGCACTCACACATCTGAAAGCAGACCTAATAGAGTAACAGCTTAATACTGAATGGTTTGGGGCAGTTCTGAAGAACTTACGCTGATTCACTTCATTTGTTTCATTCAACAGTAATCAGGGATGCATAGTATTAGTTTCTGTATAAGCCAGTCACAAGGAGCTCTCGAGCACTAGTTTGACTTGGACGCCCACGGAAAGTGACTTGCCCCAATTTATGTCACGTCAGCAGCAGAGTCGGGAACAGAGTGACCAAGTTTTAATCAGTGCCGGTCCCTGCCCGGTGGTTCAAGCGTCAGCCTTTGGAAACATTTCTTGGCTCAACCAGAGTGTCAATGGTGAAAAATCCCACCCAGCGCGCACTTTTGGCTGCTTTGCAGATAAAGTCAAGCTGAGTTGTGATGAATTACACCTTTCCTTGTGCTGGAGGTGATCTCTGGAGAGAACTAGTGCTAGGTTTCAGATGGAGTTCCAACAATGAGGTACATGTCTGGTTTAGGCATGAGTCTTTTTGATTAAAGACCTCATGGAAAGCTTAACGCAGAAGGGAGAAAAAACATTTTTCATTTTGGTTTTGTGGCTATATTTGATTCTTAGGCAGAATGTAACTTTTTTTTAATAAAAAACCCAGAACTTCATCACTTCCTGTATTTGCTTCTCCCTTGCTGTTTTGGTTCCCTGGTCCACATGATCATAGTTTTAGGAGATCTGTATATAAATGAGTTCTGCCTTTGGTCATTGTAGACACTCGGTATAAAGCATTATCTGGTACCAAAAAATGTGGGAAATGGGTCGATGAAGAGTTAATTGTCGTTACTGACTCAGTCTGCTCGCTGAAGCTAATGGCAAAATGTTCTAATTTCAGTGCTCTGAAATCAGGTCTTCAATCTCCATCCTATAGAAACACTCTTCAAATTAATCAATTCTAACTTTGAAATTTAGTGTTTTGCCAACATGAGGCAGATTTTTACATAAAAAGTAGCCTGCGGTTTTGTGCTGTAAGGCTAAATTCTAATGTTATTCACTGAATGCAGCAAGCCCAGATAAAGGAAAAATTAGATTTTGATGACTGATTATCCCTCAATTTTGCTGTGTTCTGCTGGATTTAATTTGGAAGGCACTTAATAGAAGACATCTTTAAAAAGAAATATCTAGTATTAAAGAAATCTAATATGGAATACCTGAAAAGCAAACAGGATAAATAGCTAGGAAATCAAACACTGAAAACCAGCTTAAATTTGCTTATGCAGAGTAAAACAAATCAATCCAACACCTAACAGTAAAAAGGTCCAATGCTTCCTCTGTTTCAGAGATACAAAATAAAAATCAAGGATTTTTTTTTTTTAATTCCGTAATAAAATCTCTTGCTATTCCTGATGTACATTATTATTATTTCCTTCTGTTTAGACAAGAGGTGTGTTCTCTAGAGCAGAAGCTTTGGACCTACACAAGACAGTGGTTTGTGAGCTGTATTTACCAAATAAATGATTCTCTCCTGTGTGTCACAGAGCTTGCACTGGGATAATTCCTGTTATGCTCACAGTGTTTCCTAAGCCCCTAACGAGCAGAATTTTAGTTCCTCCAAGACCAGCTTCCACTGGATTTACCTACCTGCTTTTAGGCGATGGGCAATTTTAGCTTCTGCTGCAATGTTCACCCTGAGGCATCTTGGTATGAGACCTGGAGGCAATCTACAAACGGGGAGATCCCAAAACTGCCTTAGAAGTAGCAGATACTCGGTGTCAGAACTTAATACGTGGGATAGTTACCAAAGAGAAATAAGCTTGCATCGAGCCACAAAGCTGGAATTTGGTCTCTGCAGCCGCTCCCCGCTTCTGCTAATCGCTGTGCAGCCTGAAATGAGCACATCGCAAAAGCTTTCTGATGTTCTTACTGCCTCTGTGGCCATCCTGACCAAGTGCTCCGCAATTACGAACACATTTAGCTTTACAGTCCCCTCCGTGTGCTCAAAGCAGCACGGTTATTCGCGGGAAGCGGTTCCAGACACCAGAGGCTGACCTCGGGATTTAGGTGACTACACTTGAAGTATCCTCTGGTGCCGCTTCAGCAACTGTAAATAGAAACGGTGCTACGGTGGGCAGTGTGCACCTGCATCGTTTTGTAAAACGCTGCTAGGGCCTGGGTCCTCCACGCTGCCGGGTACCCTGGACCAACCCTTCAAAGATAACGAAGCAGCACAGGGCTCAGTGAGTTGCTGAGGATCACCTCAGTATCTAAGCAGAGAACTGAAACTTGGGGACCCCCAGGCTCTGGGTTCCCAGCTGTCCTCCCTCTCCTTGGCTGCCCTCTGAGCAACCACAGGAGATGTAGCAGGGTCACGCAGGACCTGACACCAGGCTCCAGAAGCGGCACAAAGCCAGGGAGGTGCCTCTCTAGGTTGTTTTCTAGTAATTAGAGTTTAAATTACTACAGCTGTGGGCCCAGCACTTTCAAGAGAAGGTTGACAATTGGGCACCGATACAGCACTTCACAGCGTTTCATACGCTGCTGGATGCGATATGTTAGCCAGGTTGAGCGTATGCTGCTTGAGTAGAAGGGATCAAAGTCCTCTGCTGAGAACTCATGACGAATGAGGACACGGAGAAGAGTCTGACAGGGTGCTCTAAGTGCAGCCTTTACAGCAGCGGGGCTACATGTAGCCTGAGGAGGTGAATGAGCCTAGTCCCTTACCAGAGAGACAGGAAAAAGCTATTCCGGAGGATGCTGTGGTCTGACTGCCAACGAGGGTAAACCCTCCCTGGTAAACCTGTTTGCAAATATCTCCACCTGCATCTGGGACAGCATTTACTAAAGCAAACAAAATCTTTAATGTTGGAAGGCAGAAAGAAACTTAAGTGGAACTCGCTGCATCCACAGTTCTCATTCTCCCTTGCCTTATTTCTATCGTTTTCCTCCCTGCTGCGTTATACGTAGGACTGAACAGCCTGCAGTTAACAGGAAGGTTAAAGGACTTGCTCCTGTGTTGTCTCTTAGCTGTTGAGTTTTGAACTCATAGTTGTGTGTCACACTTCGGTCAGCGGAACCCCTTACCTCGTAACCACTCCGTGTGAGTCCGACAGAGGCCTCCGGGGGCTGGCTGTCACCCTGCCACCGGCTGAAGAAGTGGCGTAAGGAGCAAAGGAGGCCGCGCAGCACTGATCAGTATGAGGGTAATGCAGCCCCCCATTCTGCTTTTCACAATCATTTTCCTCTCCTGCCCCGTAGGCTGAGGATATTTCTGTAAAGAAAGAAATTTTTAGTTAATTTGCCACAGCTGTTTCAGAAGTTTTTGTGAAAAGGGATTTCACAACAGGAGTCGCTTACCTTCTTGGAGTCTCTCCAGCCTTTCATAATGAAAATGTTAGCATATAAATCATATCAACACAGATCCAGCTAGAGAAGCTGAGGGTTGCGTCAGTTCAGACCCACGTAGGTTCCCTTCGGGTGTGCTGGACTTTACCTGTAGCTTCTGGTTTGAGTTCTGGGCAGCTGAGCCATGCTGGGTGCTGGGGCGCTTACTGCTTGCTTTGGGTACAGGATGAGAGTGGGAGGCATGGAAATCCCATCCTGTTTGTAATTTGGACAAAATTTTGGACCAAGTAGATTTTTGAAAAGTAGTCTTTGGGTCATCAAGACAAGCGCCTGTATTCCAGGACTGTTCTAGGTGAGTCAGGGCATCTGTTCATGTTCTAGTACCTATGCACAAAACTACCATTAATCATGTTTGCTACAGCAGTGGCTAGGGACCTGCTAAAAAAGCATCCAGATAAGAAAAGGGTCCTTTTATGCTTACACTACACTGAATCAGAAGCCGCACAAAGCCACACTAGACAAACTGATTTTTCTCCATTTGCACGTGTAAGGGATGGAATTAAATACATCTCATTCCTCGGTCCCCATTGTGGTTCTTGTGCTGGAAATTCTGTTGCCTTGATGTGTGATGACTTCTAGGCTCCAAATGGGCAAGTAACAGTTTTCAAAAACTGCACTGCGGGTTGTTTTTTTTTTTTCTTTTTCCCTGTCATGTTTTCTTTCAAACACTTCTATTACACAAAACCCACAGAAAGAGTTCCAGGCAGTGTCCACCCATATGAAACCAGACTTTTTTTTTCCATAATCTTTTTATAGATTTGATAATATTTAACTCAGCATGTATTAAAAATGTATGGAGTACATAAAATTCATTATAAATGTCACCAAATGGGCCGATGGCTTTTTAATATCACTGCCACAAGACTGCATTTTAACCTATTTCCTCTCTGGATCCATTCCAGTGGCAATTCCAGGAGGGGAATATATTTAGTCTATATTTACTTAGTCTGTTTAACTTTCAGTTAGTGTCTTTGGCTCATCCCGTGGCCATGCTATTTTGGGATGATTTATACAATATTTACATTAAATTCTGCTAATATTTCCTTGCCTCTTGAAGTCAGATTACACTATTTACATCTCAAAGGCCCAAGCTGGAGGAATAAGCAGCTGTTCCAGGCACCAGAGAGAATTTAGCGTAGGGGAGGCTGCCAGAAATGAGGCCACGTGTCTGAAATACTCGGGGAGGAATTATTTAGAATTGGACCAGTCCTCCATGAAGGAAGGGGGAAGGCTTACCAGAGCAGTAAGAAACGTGGTTGTTATATGGGGGTCAGACAATAGCGTTCAGACGTTTTCACTTTATGCAAAGAATTTCTGGTGCGCTTTCCATAAATTGCAAACGTCCTGGGTTAAACCACAGCAGGATTGTACTGTGGGCCCCTTTGTGGGTAGGACGGGGCTTGCAGTTTTCATACTCTGCTGTAAAAGCTGAACGTCACTGCTGTGAACTGAGAAGTAGGGACAACGGTGCTTAGGTGTTTGATTTAGCCTTTTACAAAGCTGAGAGACAGATCTTAAATTCACCTTCAAATCAAA